ACAGCGGCACGAAAGTCCTCAAATGTTGTATGCCTTGCAAATCAGGGCGAGGTCGAAAGACCGCCATGACGTGTTAGCGGGTCCCGATGTGTGTTGCGAGGACCAGTTCGTCCGGGCTGCTGTCCAGCAATGGCAATTTAACCAGCAATATCACGGTACAGAATTCAGAGATCCATGGCTTCGGTTGTCGGGGGTTAGTGGTTTATTACGGGGGGTGCTGATAAGTAACAGCCAGGAGCAGGAGCTCTTGTCAGTAGGCAGCAGGCAGCAGGCGACCCAAGGGGGACAGGAAGATCAGGCGGGAGGGCGAAGCCCTGAAACACAGCTGAGAAGTTGAGCGCTGCACTCAAAAGATTATAACACAATAGCTCACTCCTCACTCAAGTGCGGTATGTCACCTCAGAAACCTTGATTCATGCATCACGGAGCCGAGGCTGTTGCTGTGGGAAAGGTTGCTGTCTACTTCCCTAACTGGAGTGGGTAGAGCTTGTGGGCAGCGTTGTAACGCGGACCTCGGTGGAGGCTGGGGCTCTCGGACATAAAAGGGGGGGAACAAGCACAGACCATTCCGGTCCCGGAAGGGCCCTACATCCCAATCCCTTGACCCCGAAACGGTCAGGAACTTTAGTTGCGGCACAGGTGGGGGGCTTGGGCTCTCGGAGGGGGCTGCAAACTAAAAACGTCTCACTGGCAGAAACATGTCACTGGCGGATCAGGGGCTTGGGCTCTCGGAGGGTCAGGTGAAGGCTGCAAACGAATCTCACTGGCAAGAGCATCTCACTGTCAGATTTTGCATCACAAGCAGGTCAGCTGTAGAGCAGCTTCAGGGCAGGCAGCACAAACTTCTACATGACCACACATGCATTCATGAGTGCCTCATGCGGTGACTTGTAACAAAGTAAAGGGCCCTAAGAACCCAAGAGTCTTTAAAGAAATAGCGCCACCCCATGCAAGCGCTCGTCGAAAGTAGTTATTCATCATGCGGCATGCATAGTACAGCATGCATATGCAGAGGCACGGGTGTGCTCATCGTGGTGCGGCATGCAAGCAAATTCATCGTGGTGCCGATGTACCGTGCTTCGACGTGTCATGCACTGTTTCACAGCAAATTCAACAAATTCTACAAAATAAATTCAAGTGGTCATGCTATATATCATGCTACAGAACTGCTGCCACATGCAAGGATCTGTGTGCGCCAGGGGGGGCTCAAAACCAACGCTTCAAAAACAGCCTAGCCCCGACGGTACGGCTGCATCACAGGCCCTTGGGGCATGGTGGTCCCAGG